GCTCAAGACGCAAGAAATTATATTTTAAGAAAATGCCACAAACGCGAAAATGATATTCAAGTTGACTACAAGCAAATTAGGCGATGTGTGCAAATTAATAGAAAATAGTTTAGGTAGACATTAAGGAGACAACATAGCAAACCCACCATCTGAAGTGATGAGACAGCATGCAAGCAAACGTTTAGTAAGTCGACTGCAGAGTACCTAGAAACGTTGCGCCGGTTTTACCTACCTTCTCAACAGGACCCATCGTCCTTTCGGTGTTGGTCCGACTGGCCTGGCTCATGGATCAATAGGCCTGCCTGACTCAGGCACTCGCGACCGCATGTGCTACAACACCATGCGCTGGATGTCGATGGTGTACAACCCATCAGCGTTGGCCGCTTCCGTAATTCCCGAGTCTTCTCTGCATGTACGAGGTCTTTCTCCCCCACTTCGGCAACTGCCTTCGTGATCAGATCGCGCAGGCACGCCGATCAACCGCCTTCGATTCCCATGACCTGCAATCAAGATTAGAACGTGAGAGGCTCACTTTGATCATGTCCTGGTCACGTAATTTTGGTTTCCCTACATAACGCTTCCCAATACTCAGCTGACCATATAATAGCTGCATCGGTATTCGCGTCAAATCCATACAGCTCGCATGACCGAGCCACCTCAGGCGTCTCAGCAAAATTATGCACTCCACTGTATACATTCCACTTTGTCGCAACACTTCTGTGTCAGCAATTCTGTCGCCCCAACCGGTGCGCGAAATCTGTCGCAAACACTGCTGATGGAACCGTTCGAGATATCGCACATCCCGCCGATACATCGTCCACGATTCACTGCAGTATAGAATAACGGACAGCACCATGGATTTGTACAACATCAGCTTCGTCCTAACGGTAAGATGATTGTTGTTCCACACTCGGTACTCTAGCTTCTCGAATGACGCCGCTGCCATCGAGACGCGGACACGCAGCTCACAGTGCATCTGCTGATCAATCGACATCACACTCCCAAGGTAGCAGAAGCGGCACCATTGTAGATTGGTGCTCCGTTGAAGGCTGAAAGGACAGACAGTTTTGCTGGTGTTGATCATGAGCCCCAATTTGGCCACTGTCGAAGCCACGGCACTACTCATGTGCTGCAACTCATCCGCGTTGTGTGAAAACAACGCACGGTCGTCAGCAAACAGCAACATACGGATAGTTGTCTCACAGACTAGAGTTCTCGCACCGAAACGACGGATGTTCGGCAACCCACCATCAATACGATGCTCCACACGAACACCGTAAGCACAAGCCGCATCAAAAGCACAAGACATCGTTGCATGAAGATAGATATTAAACAGGGCAGGAGCTAAGACACAGTTTTGCTGCACAACAGGGAAAACCGCAAAGTCATCCGAGATCTGTCCACTCACCTGCACGGTCGTCCGCATACCACTGTGCAGACATTCAATTAGACTTACAAACTTACGCTGGCAACCATACTTACGCTACACCAGCGCTAATGCCTTGCGGTTCACAGCATCAAATGCATTGATGAAATCAACAAAAAGCGAGTACAGTGGCTAGTGTCGTTCTCTACACTTCTCCAGCAACTGAAGAGTTGCAAACAGCATTTCATAGTCCAGCGACCAGAATGGAATCCACATTGCTTCTCCGCCATATTCGGTTCCACCATCTGACTGACGAGGCGGCTGAGCAGAATCCGGGCAATCACCTTGCCCACACAACTCAGTAAGTTGAGGGCATGATAATTCGTGCAACATTGCGTGTACCCATTTGCCCTTGTACAGTGGTAACACAAGGGCATCCTTCAGCTCAGGAGGCATCTCATCTTCATTCCACACGCGCTGTACGAAGTGGTGCAGCGCAGTCACCAACGCTGGTCCGCCGTCTGTCTCTTACAGCCTTCTGCGGAAACAACTGAGGTGGCTCTGTCATGTGAGCCGTATGGATTTGAGACGGATACCGAAGCAGCTATTATATGGTCAGCTGAAAATTGGGAAGCGGCATGTAGGGAAACCGAAATTACGTGATCAGGACATGATCAAAGTGAGCCTCTCACGTTCTAATCTTGATTGCAGGTCATGGGAATCGAAGGCGGTTGATCGGCGTGCCTGCGCAATCTGATCACGAAGGCGGTTGCCGAAGTGGGGGAGAAAGACCTCGTACATGCAGAGAAGAATCGGGAATTACGGAAGCGGCAAACGCCGATGGGTTGTACACCATCGATATCCAGTGCATGGTGTTGTAGCACATGCGGTCGCGAGTGCCTGAGTCAGGCAGGCCTATTGATCCATGAGCCAGGCCAGTCGGACCAACACCGAAAGGACGACGGGTCCTGTTGAGAAGGTAGGTAGAACCGGCGCAGCGTTTGTAGGTACGCTAAATTCGATTTACTAATCGCGTGCTTGCATGCTAAGTCTATTTATGTTACGTGGTGGGTTTGCAATTTTGTCCTAATGCTTTTCTTCCTCAAATAAATGTCTAGCAGTACTATCTTCTACAAACTTGCACACGCCGCTTAAGGTAATTGTAGTTAATTTCGATAACATTTTCATTTCTGTAGGATCTCCGCAAAATATACCTTCTGACCTCTTGAACTTATCTCGGATTCTTTTGAAACAAGTTATTTCATATGCTCATTAATTTAAGATGTATGTTACCGTTTCCTTATGAATTACTCGATTTATATCACTGTTATCTTTCTCTCAAGTGACTGGCTGTTGCTTGATATCCCCGGTGTGGCTGCGCTTAATGTGCATGTTGACAAGGTGTCTCCCTGTCTATTACCCACTACCTCGTCCATACTGGCTCCAGGAGACAGTTGGTCGTTTGCTGGAGGGGACGGGGTGCACGGTCCTTGTGGCCGTGTTAGGATCAAAGGTTGGTTCCATGCAGTCATTGTGGAGCGGACTACGTTCCAGCCACCGTCTTGTGTGCGCTTGATTCCCCAAATACAGCGTGCTTGTGTTTGTATGTGAACAAGTGTGGGCCTGCTCCTTTAAGGAAAGGTGGCTCCTATCCACATCCTCCCGGTCTTATTTCTTCGGGTTTACACTGGATATGGGGTGTGTGGTTGGAGCTGTGGGTGGTGCAGCGCAAGCCACCCATGGTCCCTCTGTAGGCGCAGGCCTCCTGTGGCTTGCCACAATGACAGGCAAATCCGAAACCGGATGCCGCCAACCAACCATTATATATATATATATATATATATATATATATATATATATATGCATTCAACAATGTAAGATGTATACAGGGAGCCACCGAAAAAGCCATTGCAATCCAAGGAAAGCGCAAGATGGAAAAAGCAGAGGTCTTTATATTTCTCACGCCGAATGGTTCTTCTTAAGTAATTTCTTATGCTTGAAATTCGAAACGGGAAGAAGTACATTTCTCTATACAATGCTTCCAGTGATCCTGTGGGCCGTGTTAAACCACTGGCACCCCCTCATCCACGGGTCCTCATCCAGAAAGACTTACGGGTCAAACAGCGGCTAGACGTAAAGTCCGCGATTTCGTGTGTTATCGCCAAGTGGAAGACTGACCACCACGCGTTCCCCACCAGCTCGGTCCCGAACGAGCGAATAGAGCGCGGCATAGCGCAGCGACGCAAATGCTTTGGTGTCATGCGTAGGACGTGAGTGAGACATCTCAATCGGTGCAGAAAAATCAGATGGTTGAATAGGATACTCGCGTTCCCCAAAATGAGGAACGTCGAACATCATCACTATGAACACGATGTTGCCAGCACCTACAAGTGGTACTCATCAAACAACCGTCGTCCAAAGCGTGCTTTCCACGCGAATCGGCCAGAACGCGTTTATACACAACATCACTGAACGAACGAAGGCACTGTAAATGTGGTCCCTTAATGAGATGGAGACGTGAAGATTACATCACAAGTGCTTCAGATTGACAGGTGTCGATCGATGGGAAGAGAAACGTCTTTGCTTATGGTGCCACCAGAAAAAACACAGTTCCCAAAGTAGACGAAACTATCTACCTGTACAAGGTACGCACTTTCAAGGGTTAGCAGGGGAGCATGTGTGGGCCAAGCATGTAGCAGTACTTGATACTCTGAGGGAGCAAAGCTTAAGCGATACTTAGATGATACAACCGCCAAACAACTCAGAATGGGTTGCATACTCTGTGGATCCTCATCGAGTGTGGCGTTATCATGAGTATAGTCTAATTCAGTCGCGCGCTCACCCGAGAGATGTTCAAGGCCAAAATTTTGGAAACCATCTGGAGCACGCGACAGTACGTCTTAGATTGCAAAGTTGAAGGCGAATAGACGTATAGGGAAGCCCTGCCGCACACAATCAGTGACAGCGAAGGGCGACGAAAGCTTGGTGTAGACCCGCACTCTGCCGCCATTATGCAGATCAAGTGCGCATAGCATGGCAGTGTACTTTGCTGGCATCCAGTTCTTAATAATCGACTGCATCAAACAGGTTGATCAATCGAGTCAAGTGCAACCCAGTGGTGTCTAGGAACGCGACGATAGTGAGTTCGTGATAAAGATGGTAGTGTTCGAGGAGTAAGCGGAGTTTGCGGAGGGTGAATGTTTGATCCACGCGTGCATGACCGGGAAGAAAACAAACTTGTTCTTCACGGTAGTATGATTCAGGTATTGGGGATAGTGTCTACGTAGCAGAATGGATGTCAATAGCTTGATGGTAACCAAAATAAGATTGATTGGACCATGAAGTGCCAGCGCCTTTTTTGTAAATCGGGACAATGACTGATTCGCCTAAAATGGATAACATTTTCCTACATGCCAGACATTTTGAGAACAACGAGATCACTTGATTAAAGGCTACAGGTACAGACAATAGGCAAAAATCAAAACGCCAATGATGCTGTACTGAGAGAGATTGCTGACGCACTGTTGTGATACAGTCCGATGGTCTAATCCAAGAAGTCCGCATGAAAAAACCGTAAATTTGAAGTGAAAGCCATATAACGCAAAATGAGGAAAACCAACAGAGAGAGACCCACTTGAACTCGGAGGAGTGGTTGTCCAAAACGCTAAGTTTATTCAATTCTTCATCAATAACTTCCATAACAGCAGGAGGAACAGTCAGATCCTAAGATGTGAGTAAGAAATGGTGCACTGTACTGCCAAATTGGAACAAAGTAATGTAAAACATAAAATATCGGCCTGTCGACAGATTCAGAGTAGCCAAAGTGAGAGGACGATGAGCACCTAGGAAGAATGCTGGAAGACTTCATATGCATGTGCGGTACGATAAGAAACCGCAGTGGTGAGAAAGCAACGGTTTTCTGCTCAGACACAAGGCACTCCCCATTCTCACCACCAAGTAACAGCCGGTGTGTCTAGAAATTCTCATGTATTCATCTAGACAATTAATTAGATATTGACCTACAAGTATGTAAGCCACAGACGAGATTCCTAATGCGCTCGCGACCAGCATACAAACATTAAAATGGACGTATTACCTCACCTTGACAGGGGCACTCAGGCTAATTGAGCACGGGCCCCATGCTCACCTTGAGGCGCAACCGAAACTTGTCGACAATTGTGTCTTTGTCATCTTTTTCCAGACCTAACTCGCGTTTGATCACCTTGAGTTGCTCAGTGAGCATGTAACGACGATGTTGCTGTTTCACCTTCTCTTCTACTTCGCGCCCGATTTGGTGTTGTAGACGACCCAGCTCAAATTCTTTCTTGACCAGATTCAAGGACAACCGAAGTCGATTTCGGATATCTTGCTCCTCCAAAACCGCCTGCAGTTCTTCCGGGTCACCAGCACCGCTTAGGGCAGCTCCTAAAGTAGTAAAAAATAGATAGATAGAAAACAAAAAAAATAATAACGCACCTCTCGAGGGGGAACCTTAGTGAAAGTAAAATAACGGTTGTGTGAAGGGTAGTGCAGCCGATCTATTGACGTTACTGTAGCACCCAAACGTCTATGACGTATTTATTTCGTGTTGCAGCTCCAAGGGTCAATTACAATCTGACATACGAGTTCGACACGTAAGAACTTAGAACACCATAGTTGGCGACCCTGGCCATTCATGACAGCAGCCCACGAGGCTAGACTTAGCAACTGAGGCCATAATTAATTTTCGGGCTGTCAAACTGCATGTCATTGAATCTCTCGAGCCTAATATACCGTGTTCGATACCTCTTTGAGGCAAGCTGCTCGATGCTTTTATGGGTCATTATAGGCGCTGGGAACAGCGCCTGCTAAGAGGAGGGATATCATAGCCGGTCTGAAGGCGTCCCTGTAGCACGTTATAAAGAAGTCGATGAGTGTTGTCTCCTCTAGGCCTTACCTCCTTATTGCTCTCCGGCACTGATTGTCGTGTTCACTTCCGTGCTTCCTTCGATATCCACCATAGCTCGGAGCCTTACTAAGTGGATGTGATATGAGCATCCAGCCGCTTGCGAAGTATTTATGATGTGTTGCGGCTCCAAATCTCTAGTATGACCAGCTGCATAAGTTGGACACCGAAAATTTGGAACGCCGCATCGGAGGAATTTCAGTGGTAATGAGAAGACGATGCAAACTGATTCGAAATCACACAAGTGTCAATGGGCACTTATCATCATTCATCATTATACACGTTAGCTAGAGGTGGCAAACGCTTCAGCCTTTGTGCTACAATACACGAAAAAGAAAAATAAACGCATCACAGGCACGCCAGCTTAGTGATCAGGAACGGACTGACATCGTACAGGAGAGCTAGCAGCCGACTACAGTGCCGCAAAAAGTTAAATTGTGCGTCATAAATGAGATCGCGGTTGGAGGGGAGGCTGAGTGAGATGGGATGATGCAAAGCAACTCACAACCCAAACGCCAATGAGGTCGGCTCCTAGCTATGTCAACAAGTGAATCCAGCCAAACGTGTTCATCGTCTTTCGGGCGCCAACCAGGGAGCCGAGATGCCCCAACCGAGGCCAACTTCGTAATAAGCTCTATCCTTACTCTTGACCAGGTCAGCCCATGACCACCTCTCCACTTCTTCCATCCACAACCCCAGCGCGCAAACAACACATGTCGCGCGAGTCGGTGTGCTGGCATGCGCAACACGGCCTAACCATCGGAGCGCGGTGCCGAGCGGATAACTTCCCCTTCTTCTGCTATAAACAAGACATCGAATATGCTCATTGCTCTGGTATTCCTACCAGATAACAGCCAAACTGCGAAGGCACAGGTGGTCAAACGTAAATCTCCTCTCAAATGAGCAATCAACAGGGAAATAAACGACTGGCACCATAGTAACGCTCACCAAGATCGCTAAGATAGACCGGATTGTCCGCAACCCGTTGACCAGCTTGGAGCATAGCAAGGACGTTCTCTCTAAGATAAAAATGAAGATGAATCGAAATGGATAGATGTGCTGTGCACAGGAAAAGTCATGGGAGCACCAAGTTATCGGCAAAAACACGAAAGTCAGTAAAATGGAAGAAAGATGATGGATTTTTACGATACGTTGGAAACTATCTTGGTAGAGGGGAAATTACTGTAATATCAGCTGGCAGAAAATCGTTTCCAACTAACTGTTATAAAGACTACAATGTAAAATCACAAGCAGTTGATGGATCAGATGCATCTACACATCACAAAAAATGTGTCAACATGATGACAGCATACTTGTTTTCGAGCCACATCAGTACGTAACCAGTAAGGCGTGGAAGTGCGGATGTAACTTTTCCAGGGATTACATCACATGGAAGCTGGTCCCTCCGAAACGATTCCAAGGAGGATCGTATTAGTTTACTTGCGCTACATCTACATTTAATCCTATTCTTAAGTTCGCCATCTTTCTATTACTTTTAACTAAAAGAATATCCCAAAAGTTTTTTGAGAACTACTTTGGAAAAATAACAATTTCCACTATCAAATCATGTTGTACAAAATCATCATAGTACGTAGTTGATCTGTGTCTGGCACTATAGAGAAATTGAACATCTATTTATGGTTATCTCTGTCCGGAACACACTAAAGAGCAGTGGAGCCGTACAGATGCGGTAACGAGATTAGAAAACGTAAGCCCATGTATTTCGGGGGTTGTATATCAGCAATCATTTGAGTGGGCCTGCGAAAGGTGGGAGTGCACGAAAAGAAAAACAGTAGCACCGCGATTGCAGGAGACTCACCGATAAACCGGGTTCAAATGGATGATATCACGGATAGTTTTGACGATCTCAGCGCTTAAAGCCTGCCGAAATGAAGGAGAGAATGAGCAGTGGTGGTAAAACAGAAACGATCACATCGATTAGTCGTATTATGTGAAATAACTGTGTTGCGGCGTTGACTATTGTGTCAGGTAAACAGGGGCGTAATGGATGCAGCATGAATGCACACGACACTGTGAGGGTACTATGAGTAACCAAAGAAAACAGCAGCCATCAGGAAGGTTTGGGAAAGTTGGGAAGTTGTGAAAAGAGTTGCGGGCGCCACTCACTTTTATCTCCTGCGTCAGTTCGTAAGGATCGTGATATACATTGACCGTTTCAGCGACTAAGACGGGAGACGGTAGGAGAGGCCCATTGTCGGGATGGATCGGGTCAATCGGTGAGTCAGCAGAATCTGGCGTAGTGGTGGAAGAGACATCTCCCCGATCATGAACGGCGAATGAAGATGCTACGCGTTTAGCACGGCGAACAATGCTGTTGCGCTTATTCCCTACAACGAACGTAATTGGAAGCAGTAAGCAGAGTAGACGTGAACGATGAACATAAGTCAGAGAGTAACTTAAAGGCGAAAAGGGAGCAAAACTTACTGAACAATGACCCAGTGAGGCCGTCACTCGAAGAAGTAGCGTTCTCGTCAACTTGGCGTACTAACTGAATGCTGAGTGCAAAACACCCGGAGAATGACAAGGCATGAGTGGTTAGTCAGAGCAAGGACAGAATGAAAAACAACGGGTGCTATAGTGAAAAATATGAGCATCGTGCAGAGGTCAACACACCATGCAGGTGGTTCATAGGATGCGCGTTAGCATCGGACAACTCGAAGCAATTGTGTCGATCGGGGGAACAGGGCAGCATAGTACACGCGCACAAACAGTGGCACATCAGGTATCCAGTGTACGCTAGCCAGCTTTCACAAAAAGACCCATAAATTATGAAGGTAAACGTTCTGCGGGCTAGATAATAGTGCAGCAGTTTGGAATGCTGTTCGACGCACCTAGATGTGCTGTAGAAGAAATTGAACCTACATCGAGTTTCAGTAAGCAGCCACGGTCGTGGTTACTAAGCACTACTTAGATAAGAAAATAAAGAGATCGATGACGAAGTCTTGCTCCCACAGTCATTTGCAAGTGGGAAACCTTTGTCCGAAGGTGCTTTACCAACACTCAAGCGTTAAAACCTGTCGATCAATGTGCAGAAATAAGTATTGAAAAAAAACGAAATTAACCGTATGTTTCCCAGGAGACTTGATCACGGGCTCTAGGTGGAAGCAGCAATAAATGCAATTCGCACTCAACAGTTCAGAGAAAGCTAGGAGTACGCAGATGGCTCCATTTGAGCCCACATACAGCGATAGTGGATAAAGACAACAAGACCATTACCCATACCTACCGCTTATTTTGTGTATGTCACTGATAGAGGACCAGCTGATGTGTTCCTGGTTCTTTTAATTTCGTTAGTACCTTAATCCTACCAATTACTTTAATACCTGTTTTGGATCCATTGTAAAAAGCGTGAACAAATTGATTATCTTTTTGCGATCGTGTTATACACATTGATCAGACCACGTAGTTGGACTGCACCTCGAATCGTAGAGGAATATACCATTTATTTATTTGGTGAAAAGCAGGATGAAATTAGTCATGTGCCACTAGCGCAATTTTGAAATAGATACTGAAATAATCAGACATACTACCATGCATCGTGAGCCTAGGTCAGGCAAACGCGAGGTCAATTAACACACCATCATGGAAGCGAATGTGGAGAATGATAATCAGATCTAGAATCATGAGTCATAAAGGACGAAGGTAACGCGTAAAACTGAACGCAGTCGATAGGGAAAGGAGAACATCTTACCATTAACAACAGTATAATGGTATTTTGGTTTTGATATCTCAATGTATTCAACTCTTGTGGTTCCATTAGTAGGAAATAAAAAGGACGTAGAATGGGGACTTGATGAAAAACACAAATGTTCTAAGCAGACAGTCAGGATCGAGGAGTGCACAACTTTTCGACATCACGTGAGCACAAACTTCCGGCGGTCGCGGTGGGGAGGGCGGTATAAGACGAATTGATTAATTGCAGCTTACACTGTCTCGTGTTATGATCGACTTTGCAGTAAACACACCTCATCTAGTAGACGACTGCAAACACGTGGCTGGTGTCCGTGATGAGCCATGTCCTATTAGGTTTCGAGACAAACATGGTGGGCTGTGTGCCCCCCCTGTTAGAAGGAGAGGAAAATCAGTAACACCAGTTTGATGTGTGACTTGAGTTCTTGCTGCTAGGTGAACAATGAACCCCTCAAACCTTACGCAAAATAGAATCCGATAAACGAAACAAAACAAGTTGTGGTTAGTTTGATCAGCACTGCTCTCAAGGAGGCCACACCAAATGTAGACAAGGTCGACAGTACACCGGTGACTAAAATCAAACACCTTGTGGAGCTGTCAACGCGATACAGTGAACGGTAGCATTGTGCATACTGCACTTGGCGTACAGACTAAGGTATCATCGTCGACATGTGAGTGACATCGGTTTCGTAAAGCCATGCCAATCGTCGTACTGTTGTGCGCCATATCCGTCTGCTTCATGACCGGACAACCGGAGACGATGCAGTCACCTAGTTAAGTGAATCGATCGATCACTTCGAGTTGACGCGTTCGGTGATCGTGGAGACCAATGTGCTACCTGCTCAGTCATGGACAGCTCACTCTGCGCAGAAAGGGATCAGCAGCACGCCGTTAGGCAGTACTGACGACTCATTGTAGCGCAACCACAACCAGTCGCACATGGGGTAAGGATACTGCGAAGGTAGCCCGATCCCTACGCAGGCTCGAACCAACGCCCTCAGATTACAAGGCAATCTTGTGATGCTTAAGGCTACACGCCGGCATTTTTGTGCTTAAGTTGCGAAACAGAAGCCAAAGTGTGTACTGTTAGGTGCTGGTGCATTTCACAGAGGGTTGGTGGCTCGTGTACGCAGACTGAAACGGTTGCTAGATAGGATATCGATTCCGGAAGAAGCACGCAGAACACAGTAACGTATGGTCATCTTAATTATAAGGTTGAAGATAAAAGGGGAAAGTGCACAGGTAAACCTCATCTGCTGTGATAAAGCTAAGGAAGGGTATTTTGTTGATACTCGACGGATCTTGAAATTTGCAGTATAAAAGTTTAGGGTAGATAGGAAGTTCCCTAGCCCTTTCGTAAGAGCTAAAGAACATCACAATTGTGAATACTTGGATTAAGGAAGACCTGCGAGCTAATGAAGACGATGGCGGCAGGCTTTCAGCATGTTTGACTGTTCAAAAGATTGGCCAGTGCATGTGAAGAAAGTCAAGCCGCCAGTATGCGATCCATCAAAGTACTTTGCATACAACGGTATTCATACTCATAATCAAACAATTTTCACGTGATTTCCATTGGCTTTTTTAAATATGGGGTAGATAATTGGCAGTCGCAAGCATGTGAGTACATTTCACTGCATCAAATAACGTCGACAAGGCGATTACAAGGGCACAAATAAGCCTCCACCGTGTTCCACCAAGCATAATTGAATATCATTAAAAATGAGTGTTTGTAGCTCTGAAGAATAAGGTTGGCGCCTTTAAGAGTCCCATTCTAGTGCACAAGAAAACAAGGCCAACATCTGTATTTCTGTTATTTTAGTAGACAAAAAAGTAAGCGACGCTAAAAGTCCTTTTTGTTAGATTCCAGCCAGTTAGAGCATTTCAAAAAGCGGTCTCTTCTTGTTCACATTTTATCAGACGACAAAACTTTCTATACCATACAGATTGTTCAGGTGAAGGCATGCCGTGTTGTTTGTAAGAGCACAGCACTTCTCCCACCGTTAAAGTACTTCAGCAATGCTAGCTGTGAAATGGATGAGCTTACAAAGTCGTCCCTTTTTCAGTCCCCCGTCTATGGAACTTTGCTTCCAGCCCTATTACTTTTCATTTTTTGTTTTGTTACTCGTGTGTTGTGGCACACTGCCAAAGGTTTATTAGGCGAGTGTTAGATATAAGTACAATATACAGGCGCCCCGTCAGTAACGCTTCTGAACGCTGAAATGCAATATCCTTACTTCAACTTGTTCATTTGCGAACTCTTGTGGACAGGTTCCGAGCTTGAGCAAACAAACCATACGCAGCTCAACCATACGTAGTGAAATATTTGTAACGTTCTTGAGTTACGTGGCAATTGCGGTGTGGCCACGTCAATACAAAAAGGGCGGAACTCACGCCAGCTGTGGTGAGTAATTTGCGCTACGACACAGATGGTGTATCCCCTTCTATTGAATCAGTAAAGCGCCCGGTGAAAAGTGTAACATTCTTCTCTCTGTCACTGGTTAAGGTGCAGTCGTGGGGTTAACGTTCGTCTAGTATTGCGTGCGCACACCACTCGGAAAAGTTCCGTCCTCGACAAGAAGACGGGTAGGTTTCGCATGTGTGTTATCGTGTGAATGTGCCGAATTGCGTACTGGTCTTGTCGACGCAGGGGAATTACCCTAGGCGTATTTTCCATATCAGCGCGCACAACGAAAGCGGATCTAAAACACTTTCAGTACTACGCTGCCTGATTTGCAACAGTATGCACACTTTAGCATAGAGTACACTGCTTTCCAGCTGCTTTCTTTGGACTATTACATGAGGGTTGTGGCATATCACTTACTCTCTGATGTGGCCATCTCTATACATCCAGAGATCCTCTCTAGGTGTCCGATTTGGTCAATTTTGATGCACGTACACACCATACTTCCAGTTGATGCCTTGAACCCACTACACAATGGGACGAAAAACAGGGCTTTCCATTGAACAAGCGTGAAACGCAAATGTTCATTTGCTATCACGTATGCACATTGGGACTGTGCTTTGCACTATCTGTCACGCTTATTTTGCGACTCATTGAAAATCATTTCTATGGTGCGCGACCGTTGGGCGAGGATTAAAATTGGGTGCATTATGTATTTTAAAGGTTTTCCACGAAGTTCTTTTGTTAAAGTGGTGCTGGAAACTCATAACGTCTGACGTATACGGGATGGTTTAGCTCGAATGGAATCCACTGTAGTATCAGTACGCAGAACACGTTACTTAACACTAAAGTTGTAAGTATAGAAAGCTGAGCGATATACCATCAGTTACACCTGCAAGTGTATGTACATTGGGGGTCAGTAAGTTGAGCGGGTACTCTGTAAACCTGTGCGCTACGAGGCGCTAAAGGAATTAGGAATGCAAACTGAACAACAAGTGGCAACACCAGCGGAGAGTAAGTGATTCTTAAAAGGAGGAACGTGACTGGACCAACACATAGGGTATATCCACTGTCAAATGAATGAGAAGACGAGGTGACCAAATTGTGCAGCAGCGTAAGCTAGGAGGAACATAGCCCATGCACAACACATCGTAACAATACCCAAGGGAGGAGAGGTTTCAGCGCACGTTAACACGCTGCAGTGAGGTTTCGCTGTAGGTAAATTCGCCTTAACCCCGAATGTTTGCTTAGTGCATTAAGGGTTTACGCTAGGTTCACATCCTTTCCCCCTTATTATCCTCTGCTCCGTAGATCTCTGTGATCGTATGGTAGGGAAGCGTTAGCTCAAATCGCTGATGCACTGCCGTTGATGATGGTGGCTGCATGGCAAAGATTCGAACTCGGACACAGTTGCAAACCAAATGCCTGGGCCGCTACAACATGGATGGCCCTTCCACGGTGAACGGGTGTTTCTTCAATTACAAGTCACAATGACTACGCAACGAATGCCTATTCTACGCACTAATTATCCATAATTACCATAGTCAGTTACATGCCAGCTTGCAAAGGAAGTCGTAGCCCTGTGGGCCACCTCAGTCCTCCGCATGTCCATACTCGGCATGACAATGGCGGATGAGCCGCGCTATATCGCAGTTAGATATCAGTCATGGCGGTCCACCGCTGTCACCCATGGTTCAGTGGCATAAGAGTTGCTACCTCGTAATAATAAGGACATGGATTCGAGTTCGACAGGATTCGGCGGGTACGCGTTACTTATGAGTCCCAATAGGACGAAACAGCCGTCTAGCGCTTTCATAGATGTGTGGTGATTGGATGGCTAAGTCTAGCTGGGAGGAAGCTTCGCAAAACACAATGAGTCCCCCTACTAGTCAGTACTAACTCTAATCACTGTTGAAAGAGAAGCGGTGCGCATATCTGAGTAAAACAAGCTAATTACGTAATGGTGAAAGGGGGCAAACAAATTCAAGTGGGGTACAGAGAAGTGAGCAACCAACCGACGATGGCCAATGACAAGCATGCGAATTTTCTGGCCAAGGTCATCCCATTCGGGAATTTGAACGAAGGTCCCAATACGATGTAATTCATCCAGGGACTTGACCACATCCGATTGGCTGCAGTGGGAGTGTGCAAGAAAAAGGAACGATGAAAGTGAAAGATTAGTAAATCAGTAAAGGAGGGCGATGAGGTAGCCCGTTAAGGTGTAACAAGGTAACCGCAAGGTCTAAATTGGTTGAACAATTTGTATCATGCGGGCCGATGCTCTGTGACAGACACAGCCCGTGCATAAGGGTGACGTGAATCAGTAAATGAAATGGCACAAGTTGCTGCGCCATAGCGCATCTTCATGGGTTGGAAATACTATCGGCTCGTTTTCGTTGAAGAACAATAGAAAACCACTGGCTATGAAAATCCAGCAATTGACTCATGCCTGTATGCTGAAAAGCAGTATAGGCAGTACGCTACTGATTATTCGCCGATTTTTCGCACTCAATACAACGAACAGGTGCAGTATTGAGGAACTACATGACGCGGAAGACTCGTGTGTAAACAATCATCTGGTTGAGAAGAATTGGTGAAGAATCTTCTGTCTCTCAAAAAACAAGCATTTTATCCAAGTTAGAATGAAGAAATACGTGCGAATAACAAAGTCTTCAATGTGCTGAGTGCCATAGCTCTTCCAACTGACCGATGTCAATACAGATACTTTGGCAAAAAGAGGCGGTACTTGTTTCGGGCACATCAAGACAGAGTCGGCAGTTGGGTAGTGAAGAGGAGAGGATGGTTAAAATCTGAGCGCACAACAAGCAACGAAAAGTCCGAGGTACGAAGCAAACCTGCATCGCGTTTCAACAAGAATAGACAAAAAACGCGAATAGAAACTAAATACAAAACGTACTCTGCCGACGACTTTTTTAAGAACACTCCGGCGTACGGGGCGTTTAGTTTGATTTTCCGGCGCAGTAAGCTCATCAACTTTGCATCGGTAATCTGCAGGAAAAAAACAGTACCCATAATTCTAGAATAACGTGGAGATTGGTTCCTCACCGTGGGCATGGCACGTGTGTCTGGCATCTTTGTAAAACCATATAACTAGGAAAAACGGGATATAGCAAAAGAGCGCATCGGCAGCACGCCGGCACATCGTGCCGACGCTAGTTGCCACGCGACCACCACCGGTCGCGAGGGCCAGGTATACTACAAGGTCACTCGCATCCTACACACACATTTGAACCGGTGACCTCCGGGGATTAGAAGGCAAGCGTCTTATCCTTCCGGCCACCGGTCGGTCCAGCTGGTCAGCTATGGTTGGTGCACAAGTCATCAGCATAAAAAATAATAACATCAAAATTCAGGAATCACATTTTAACAGTGCAAGCTGCATTCAGTTATTTCATGTATTCTATTCAGCCGCTAATGTAGTGTGTGGAACGGCTAGGTTGCTTCAGTTGTTGGAGAAATTCTGTGTGATCGAAGACCACTAGGCCCCATGATTCCTGTTGGAAAAAAACAATGATCACTGGCCTCAGTAGCGGAAGACCAAGATGGCCACCCAATCTGCGTGTTCGCATAAACTTGGTTTAAAACGTCGTTGCTGGTTTAGGACGTCGCATTCATGATGCTACTTCACCGCAGTTGGGCTAAACCGACTTACACTTAAACTAGGTCTTTTTAATGTGGATAAAATTCATTACATTTTATTTGGTTTGTTCTGCGTACTTGATAATCTTCTCTCAACTTACACACGTCGCTCATGCAAATTGTGGTAAATTTGCGTAATTTTATCGCGTGGTATCTTTAAATAACTTTCGGACATTTTGTACTTATTGCGTATTCACATTTAACCAATTTCTTCCATATGCTCATTTAGTGGGTATTTATGTCGGCATATGCGTTTCCCTTATTCGATATCCGCATTTCCAATGATTGGCTGTTGTTTGACATCCCAGGTGTGGCTGCACTTGATGTGCATGTTGACAAGGTGCCTACCTGTCTATTACCCACTACCTCGTTCATCTGGCTCCAGGAGACAGTTGGTCGTTTGCTGGAAGGGACGGGGGTGCACGGTCCTTGTGGCCGTGTTAGGATCAAAGATTGGTTCCATGCAATCAGTGTGGAGCGGACTACGGTCCAGCCACCGCCTTGTGTGTGCGCTTGATTCCCCAAATACAGCGTGCTTGTGTTTGCCTGTGAAGGAGTGTGGGTCGGCTCCGTTGATGAAACATGGCTCCCATCCACATGCGTCCCGGTCTTATTCCTTCGGGTTTACACTGGATATGGGGCAAGTGGATGGAGCTGTGGGTGGTGCAGCGCAAGCCATCCACGGTCCATCTGTAGGCACAGGCGTCCTGTGGCTGGCCACAGTGACAAGCAAATCCGAAACCGGATGCCGCCAACCATATATATATATATATATATATATATATATATATATATATATATATATATATATATATATATATATATATATATTCCAATGGTTGATCATATACACGTCAAAAATATAGCAGACTATCATTTCAATTGAAACTTTTAGAGGAAAACATCCAAAAACCGTGAAGAGGATGCGAAGTGTCTTGTGCTAGCTGAATCAACTTAGTTTGCCTGGACTCCACGTTAAAAGGCGGGAGCTTTAGCCACCGTTTGATGGCAGAAGAAGGACAAGACATCAGATGTGAGAGTGTATGTAATATCTGTGTATTAAAAGGTTTTCTATTGTCGTTGCGCAGGGATTGTTATGAGCCTTGACAACTGGCCATGAACAAGAGTAATCAGGGGTGCCGAAAAGGGACAAGAGTTCATTGTCGACCTGTTATGACCTGTTTATCTCTGTAACTTTCGACGAAGTCAGACGCGATAAATCCGCTTGTCGTGTGTAATAACACCGATGTACGATGATGTGAGCAAAGGAATGTCACTGAGAAACAGAACCACCAAGTACTGATAACTCGCGGTGTTAGAATACAAGCGCAATGGACACTGATCTGTGAAACAAGCTTTAGCATGGCTGTAGGTGTTGCCCTTACTTCGATCATTTTTACGAATTTGGGGAATAATGGGGCACCAGTGACGGCAATGATGGGGACCACAGGGTAATTTTCAGGAATGTTCTGGGTTGACAAAGCTAGTTGATCAGGCGGAGAATCGGGTGGTGGAGATGGGGGTGTGGTTGAATCTGGAGTAGACGATGGAGGAGCATCAGAATCGCCCTCATTGTGCGAGTCACCAAATCGGTTGCTATTAGTCGCATGTGTAGAAGACGTCCAGTGAAAATGTGATTTATTCAACGCCAGCGGCTGAGGAAGTGAACACAAAAAAGATAAAGTCTGAGTGGGAGAGAAATACTGTACAAGAACAACATAGAACTATACGAGATACACTAAGCATGCAATTAAGGAAACGGGAATGAACAACCAGAAAATGCTTACAACTTACCAAACAATCAGCATGAGCTACTTAGAACCAACAGTGCGCTAAGCCGTTTAAGTCGGCTGCAATATGACTGCTAAACGAATCGATTGTATATATATATATATATATATATATATATATATATATATATATATTAGCTCCAAGCTAACAAGCTCTCGCTGCCTACAATATTCCAGATTCATTCTTACAGTCGAGTAAAGAAATGGGTGTAGTGATCAACAATTATCCCTGGAGCCCAAGTACTCTACAATGTTTCCTCGCTTTCAAATGTAGCTTGAAATTTAGGGGGTTTAAGACCCAACAACTTTCGTTGCAAGTGTCTACCTTGGATCATGCGTGTAAAGCGAACATTCCCGGCAAGTAATTAACTGGCGGTCATCATAATGTTGATACTTCATATTCTGTTCGACATGTTAGTCACGAGATTCAGTGTAGATATATTTCCCGTAGTTCGTCCATCATACTAAACTTAGGTGGGCTTAAGAAAAGGCAGCCTACTATCGAGGTTGGAGGCGGAAGCGCAATGGAGCCTGCTAGAATTTGAGTTAGAACTGGCCAATCTTCTGGATAGACTTAGAAGTAGGTAAGCTGAACTGTGATGGTACGGTATTGCCTTAGAAAATAAGTCAGCGCACAGAAACAATTGATTTGTGGCGCCAAATGGCTGTAACCTACATGTATGACGACAGATTGTTATTAAATAGCTTATCGACACAGTAGAGTATACAGCTACACCTGCCTACGGTTGAGCAATTGGATAATAGCCAAGCTACTTCTTGGAAATTTGCTAAAACAGTTTGAACACATTTACGAAAGCCGAATGATGAACAGAGAGCAGCGGGATTTACTTGATCTATGATTGCTTTGGTTATGTCAAAGAGATTAGCAGAGAATGTGTAATATTATCACCCTGAAACGCTTAAGTTAGTGTACGGAACATCCCCCCGGAATCCGCATATACCCAGGACAGGAGACGATCGGATCGGTCTAGTCTTCGGCGGCGAAAACACACAAAGAGTGCAGATAGTACCCGTCGCATTCACACACTGTGCGACCAACATCGGGCCAATTTCACATACAACAGACGGCATCTACAATATACAATAACGATAAGTCATCATTGTTTTACTGTACCTCTTATTTGTGCATCATTCCATCTGGTAACCGTATTGATGACATTTGCTTCCCTATTCCTATATCTGTCTCCAACTATTGTTGATGCCCATACTTCTGACTAAATTTAAGGCTGCTATTTAGGTTCACGTCTAAACGTTAAGTAACCACCGACAGTCGTATTGGTTGTTTATATTTGTATGTGCGATTTGCCAAAACTAGAGGAATATGGCTGTTAGTCTTACATTCAATCCAAACTCATTCGCGTTCGTAGTGGTATTACCCACGAGAGTTTCTCTTTCCCCATTCAGTTTGTGGTAGTCCATACGCAAGTGTGAACAAATGAATGTGAACGTAGGTGGATATTCTTGGTTCGAACGGCCATTGCCCGCTCGCAACACTACAGAACTGCAACTTGAACCCGGGACCTTTTGGATGTCAACTGATATCTCTACTCGCAGCGGGCGGTGCTCGTCACCATGTTGAATGACTAAGTGGAAGCCAGTTAGAAGCACTTGTAAGCGTCATATTTCAGCTTGACAGATTAATCGCATTTTCAAACGTGTGAAACCATTATCTGATGGCTTGATGCCCAACTGGGGCTCACCCAAATTACAGATAGCGCTAACATCTATTCATGTCTCATTACGTTACAACTTCACAAATGGATCATATTACATTTCAATTCATGTGGCACCGTGATATATTGTGGGTTGCAATGTGATGTCATGGCAGCCCGGTCAAGTGCCTCTGTACGACCCGTTGTACTGCTGTTGCCTTCAGGCACACACGGAGATCCAGACAAGTAAAAAATTTTGATTCAGACAGCGGAAACAGGATGTGACATCCAAATCGAAACGTTTGGACACAGGTAGCATTCACGGCACTTAGAAATTGGTCGAGATATGCTATCGCCCAGAACCGGCGAGCAAGAGGACAATAAATAGTAACACACGAGTGACCACCTGGGGGTTCCACATACCTGTTCATTCTCGTTCACCTCGGAGAATAGACCATCGGCCTGGCTATGGCTTACCTTCCAAGACTGGATCTAAACGTGGTGCAACGGTTTGCGTACCTTATTGACCCATTGAACTATACTAGGTGATGCCTCCGGGCACCTTGAGAGCTATTCCTACCAGGTTGGTCAATGGTGAGAGGCCAGACAAACTCAGCCTCCTGGTCCTCCACGTCGGGGGTTTGAAATGGGATGGCGTCCATTTCTGTAAAACTAAATCATTGCCATCTCCCCGCTGCCTTGCGGACAGGCTTTTGAGCCAAAGGCTTTAGATTAGGACCTTAATCATCCCCCCTGTCTAGGTCTGGGCGCCCTGGCAGTATGTCAGCCCACATACAATCATGACAACTTCTTCAAACATAAACTTCATCCTGCATCGGCCGTCGCGCAGATTATCAAGGGTCGCCTTATCTGCTACATACAGCAGGGCGGACAAGCGAAAACATGCTACTGCTGGCGCCTCCCTCTTTCTTTTCCACCTTTTTCTCTTACTCCCATCCCGATCCCCATTACAAACCTTCCTTCCATAATTCCCCATTTTATAGACAGCAACCGAAGTGCCACTGGAGTAGAACCATCTGCAGTCATCATACCACCACACCTATCCGAAGCCTATCGGCAAAAGTCTCTTATAAGGCCACGCTATCCCGTTTCCATGGCGACATTCAACGTCCGCACTCAAAGATTAATAGGTCAACAGCCTGACTTCGCACGCACCTTGGACACACGTGGCACTAACGTGTGTTGTGTGTCCGAAACCAAGATCAATGACCTTAACAGGGTTATTGAATAAACTGCACCCTGCTTATCCTCTCGTTATTGGTTGCATGCATCCGGAGACGTCGATGCAGCACTCACGGGTCAAACTGGTGTAGGTGTCATCCTAAGCTCCAAGGCTGAGCCGTCGTTGGTTGATTGGATTCCGGTGAACAGCCGGTTCTGTGCAGCCCGTTTGACGACACCAGCTAAGGTTGATTCACGAACTAGTACAAAACGCTATTTTTGCGTGATTTCCGCTTATGCTCCCACCGACTGCAGTTCAAATGCTGTCAAGCACACATTCTATCACAAACCGAATGCGCTACTACGCAGTGCTACTAGTTCAGATATTATAGTACTTGCAGGGGATATGAACGCACAAGTAGGGCGTCTTAGCTCTTCAGAAGCTCAGCTGTGTGGTGATTGTGGGCTTAACTCCGAACGGACTGACAACGGTGAGCGTCTGCTGCAACTGTGTGCGGAGCACCAGTTGTTTCTTAGTAGCACTGCTTTTAGACACAGTGGGCGCCGAAGTGCCACTTGGCGTCCTCCTGTAGCTGGCCAGCGATGGACTCAGATCGACTACATTGCCATAAGTTACAGATTGCATGGTTCCATCCTGGATTGCCGCTCGTGCTGGAATATCTGCCTCGACTCTGATCATGTCTTCCTATACTGTCGTTTCTCCATGAACTTTCCCGGAAGGAGCACCAAGCGTATCCTCTGATTGGCAACGGAGAAATTGTCTCAGTCCCCGCCCAGACAAGTCTATCAAGACGCACTGCATACCGAACTTTCGCTGTCTTGTCCGAATGACACTGAGCTTCAATAGAATAGGACCTCGGCCGCCATGCACGACGCAGGAGCATCTGTTTGTGACAATATCATTCGTCACCACACCAGTCACTGAATATCCGAGAGGTCGGTGAACCTGTTGGAATCCAGAAGAAACCTCCCGGCTGGCTCTGAACACAGTACGATCAGACGGGCTATTAGGCGCAAACTAAAACGGAGCTTGCGTGCTGACAAAGAAGCCTGGTGGACCAGTCGGACTCAAGAAATGGAGGAGGCAGGAGCAGTAGGCAATTGCCGCAACCACTTCCAGCTGATCCGCACCACTGGTCCCAGGAAACTAGGCGTCAGTGGGACAATCAGAGACAGCGCGGGTGCGCTGATGCACAATAAGGAGCGCCATATGGCTCGTTGGGCGGAACACTCAAGTTCAACTGACCCTCTCCTCACGGAACTCATTCTACTCAGGTGATGCAGGACGAGCCATGGACGGTTAGTTTAGAGCCTCCGTCGGAGACTGAGGTCCGAAACGCGATCGCAGCCCTCAATCGTTTTCGTGCCGCTGGCCTGGATTCCCTCCCACCTGCACTATTTAAGGATGGATGTGAGGTCCTCTGCAAAGCACTGACCTCACTATTCGAACGTATCTGGTAGCATATCCCGACTAATTGGAGCGAATTGATTATAATGGCAATATACAAGAAGGGCAGTCGCACAGACTGTTCTAACCACAGGGGTATTAGCCTAACGCCAGTTGTGACAAAGTTACTGGCCTCGATTATCGTTCGTCGCCTCACTGTGAAACGGGAATCCCGGATTAGGGAAGAGTAGGCAGGTTTCCGTCGAAGACGTTGCTGTATAGACCATATATTCACTCTGCGACAGGTGCTAGAGCAGCGCCACGCATACCGCAGACCGACAATAGCTGTGTTCCTCGATTTCAAGTGTGCGTTCAATCCAGTCAATCGATCGATTCTGTTTGAAATACTTGCGCGGGAAGGTGTTCCCACGAAATATGTGAACATCCTACGTGCTCTATACTCGAACACTACAGGCCGCGTCAGTTTCTACGCCGACCTGTCGGATAGCTTTCCGACCACAAGTGGCGTTCGTCAGGGTTATCCGATTTCCCCATTTTTGTTCAATTTCGTCGTAGATTCTATCATGGAGTGTTCCCTTGCG